CGAGCAGGACCGTCATCTGGCAAACAGTTGAGGCATCTTGATGAAAGGAAGCCGTCATATCGAACCTTTGTGAAGCACCAGCTCGCTGCAACGGCCCTTAAATGGAAGCAAAGCGCCGTCATCTAAAATGAAGGCAGATCCACTGTGGACACACCGTGGACCCACCGTGGACACACCGTGGACCCACCGTGGACCCACAGTGGACAACCAGAGAGCACGTAACAAGAACGGGCTCATCTAAAACTTGAGGTATACAGTTCTGCCTTTGCTTTCTGTTTGCTTTCTTTCAGCTTCTAAATCAATTCCCTTATTCAAACAAGTGCTCGCACATCCTGGAGAGATGTTTGAGTTTAAACAGCGTTATGAGGAGCAGAACAACAGTTTACGTCCGGATCCAAAGCAACAGAGAGAATCCACACACTCTTCATTACAGCTCTACATTTGGTGGGAGACCATTTAAAAGGACAGCAGACCCCAAACTTTGATCCAAATGAGATGTTTGCTCCAGAATGACCACTCACCGCCCTCGCTGAGACAACAGGCCATCTGCCAACTCCCCAGAACCCTGATGATGGTCACGAATAGTCGATTCTGAAGATAAAAACGCCTCCCAACCTATCTCTCTCCCTAACACCCAGAAGTTCACACATAAGAATGAAATGAACAGTTTTAAATCCTAAAATTAAGGAAATCTAGCATCAGCGGAGTGATGATCTAACATCTGGATTCAGTCTTTGACAGCAGGTCATCAGGACCAGTGTTGAAGATCAGTTCACATCTGTTTGTGGAAGACCAACACAAACACCTTCTTCTGTCAGAGCAACAAAACACACAGAGAGACTCTGATCCTAGTCGTATATAAGTCTAATAGAATTTAGGCCAATCAGAGCTCGTTGAGCAGAAACACTCACCTGTAGATTTCTTGGAGAAGATCTCTGAAGAAGCTCCTTCGCCTGTTTGCCAAACCGCTCAACACTCTCCCCGACATGTTCCTACGCTGCCACCTCCCCTAATGTGACTCCACCCGATGATTCCTACCTTTGTCTGCGTCTCAGTTACTTCCTGGTCTGTTTCTATACTCACCTTGTTTTCTGGATGTTTGAGGCGGATCACAGCGGAGGAGGAGGTCGGGATCGCTGTTAAGTCTTCTCCACCGTACTTCTGATTATTCTTTTCTTTTCTCTCAAGCCCCTTTATGAGAAGGTTAAATCTGACTGTTGGGCCTCTTTTGCAGATTCACCCCGTCAGAGATCATCCTCTTCTTCCTTGGTGGGGAATCACTGTCGGAGGAGATCTCTAGTATTTTTCTGTAGCACCTTTTTAGCAAAGTTCTCTCTTTGCAGATCCTCCTCCGTCTCGGTGGGGAGGGAATGTCGAGGCTTCTTGTGCTTTAGTAGAGAATCAGCCCTCCTCTGTTTCAGCGGTGGCATTAGGGTGGATGTGTAATTATCGGTGGGGGGCTGCAGGGGGATTTTTGGAAGCTTGCTTGGGGGCAGACGCCTCCATTTTGGATGGTGGCTGGGGGGTAAACTGAGGAACTTTACAGGGTGGGTCGGAGATAAAAGTCTGAATTTTGGTGTTTGGCAGCGTGTTCGACATCTGGGTTGGGAAGGGTGGCTGCAGGAGGGATGTTTGATTCTTTGAGGGCGGCTGCGCTGCGGACGTCAAAGTTTTGAGGGGTGTTTAGGGGGTAGACCTCTGAATTATGGTGGATGGCTGCAGGTTGGAGGTCTGAGTCTTTGGGGGGGCTGGGGGATGTGCGTAGGGGGTTTGGAGGGCAGCTGCAGTGTGGACATCTGAATTTAAAAGGTTGAGGGTTAGATGTCCAATTTCTAAGGGCTGGCTGGAGGGTAGATGTCTGAACTTGGGAGAACCCTCTCCCCCCGTCTCCCCTCCTCACCGCTGTACCAACTGCTTCTAGTGACGACACAGAACCAATAAATGTTTTGTGTAGAACTATCATCGGTTCGGTTCACTGAGACACCTGCAGCTCACTTTCAAATACCAGTTGCCAAAAAAAAACAAAAAACTATAATATTAAATAGTTAAAAGCTGATAAATGAAACTCAAAGATGTGACTGTGGTCTTTACTTCTGTAGAAATACAAACAGCAGATGAAGATGAAAGTGGTGATCAGGTGGTCCGTCTGTCTCCAGGACATGGTGTGGACCCACCGTGTTCGGCCCGAGAGCACGTCACAAGAACGAGCTAATCTAAAAACTTAATGTGTACAGTTCTGCCTTTTTCTTTTCTAAACCTTCCAAAGGGCAGATAAACAGAGCAGGTTTGCTTTCTTTCAGCTTCTAAATCAATTCCCTTATTCAAACAAGTGCACGCACATCCTGGAGAGATGTTTGAGTTTAAACAGCTTATCAAATTTCCTGCTTCGGCACAACACAGCAAGACAGGAGAGTCTGTGAAGTTACATCTGCATTTAGAACAGTGTGCTACATCTCTAGCCAGGTTTACATCACTACACATCCCTAAATACCGTTCACAGGAAGGAGATCATGTGACAGCGGCCTGATGTCATTTTCCCAGTTTTGTACCTTTTTAGATTTCCAACCATCCAGCGGTTGTCTTTAAAAAAACAATCTTGCAGTAAAAGAAATCTAACGATGATTCATTTCAATCATTCGTTCACACAAAAGCTGTATTTTTCTGCATCAAAATATCAGCAGACCAACATTTGCCTGCAAAAAGCCCCCAGAACACACGGTCTGCATCCTATTTATCGTGCATGATTGAGCCGTTACACTGCAATTTGGTTGACATGAAGAAAAATGAGTTGCCTCGGCTGAAGCCACGACACATGACAGCCAGCGACCTCCGGGACTGTTTCCATCAAAGAGCTCAGATACACGTATGCACACATACTGGTACTTAGCACCGAGCATTCACCGGCTGAGAAGTCGAGGATCTCAGCGCTTTGCCACTAAAAATGAACAACAGATGTTCAATTACAGACTGGAGAACACTTTAGACGGCTGCACATTCAGACTACCACTGCTGTGCTAATGGGAGACTTTCGGCAGTTTCAACTCTCTAAATTTGGCCGTATGAATGTAAACCGGCACTTTCTGCACATTTGAATGCAAACATGATTCACGGGAGAAGCCGGGGGTCTGTTTGGCCTCCGAAAACCTTAACTAGTAATTGAATCTGGGCGTCAGTGTGACCAAATCCTACTTAACACCCTCCGCCACCCCTCTCCTCCCTTCATCTCTCCCTCCGATCCATCTGATGACTCCGGCAATCTGCGTGTCATGTACAATTAAGTGGATCTGAAGATGCAGAGAGGGAGACGAAATTTAAAGTGCTGTAGAAATTAGAAGCGATGAAGTGTGTGTGTGTGCCGACGGCGTCCCCGGTGGTTGGAGCTCTGACGCACCGTGGAAGTGACAACGTAGTGACAGGTTTCCTCTGATCAGGGCTGCAGACATGACAGAGCCGACTTTCTGACTCGTACTTCACCTCTCCAACACACATATTGAGGAGAAGCCCTGTGGCTGAGCGCTGCGCCGTCCCTCCTCCTCCTTCACTTCTGTGTTTTTTGTAGCCAACAGAATTTTTTTTGTTTGAAGAACCTCGACACTTTGAAGGCCAAAATTTTAGGAGCCTGAAGCGTACGGAGAGAAATTAGTGTCAAATGAGCCACGAGTAAAAAACACAACGCAAACGATTAAACACATGTAGAAATAAACACACTCGGATGAATTCCAGCACTGAAGATGTGAAGTATGTTTCCAGACTTCACAGGTATCACTACGTGTACATTTCCAGGGTATATGAAGGTCTGCACCTTGTCCTACATCGTTCACACACATCAGGGTCTTGTGTGGATTGTGTGACCCACAAATGTATGACGGGTTCTGGTGCTGGTGGAAAACCTGGAAGTCTTCTCAGTGCATGCATGTGAGATGTGAGAGTGTTTTCTGGTATTTGTTTTCATTTTTAGAGATGCATGTGTGTATCTGGTGGTTTTGGAGTTATGTTTCTGCTTTTGTTTCTGTATTTGGTGGTTTTATGTTTTATGGTGTGTTTCTACATTTGACTGTTTTGCCATGTTTCTGTTTGTTTTATGTTTTTGAGGTGTCAGGCTGTTTCTGTATTTACTTCTCTTGTCAGATTTTAGTGTTTTTTCCCCCAAATGTGTGAAAGTCTTTTCTATCAGTGAACATGTCTTCATTATTCTCTTGCGTTCTCTCGGTTTGCATGTTCTCACCATGCAGAGCATTCAGCCTTCAGCGCCACCAGCTTCAGGCATGTAGAGGTTGTTTCCTGTCCTTTATGATGCAGACATGCTCATCGACTGCCTCTGTGCCCTCACAACAACACTGTTAGCATCCATTTAAATTCTACATTAGCTTGTCCTTCGTGCTCTTCTTCTTCACTGCTGACTTATTCAGGTCGGTTTGTATAGATTTGTAAATCTGTTTCACATTTATTCAAACTGTTCTTTCTTTTTTTCTGAGACTATTTTTTATAGTCCGTTGCTCCACACACACATCAGGAAACTGAAGCCATGAACCCGGTTCTCTGCCGGCACGCCGACACACATAAACACACATAGATCAAATCCTCTCAGAGCCGGGGTCTCTCCCTCAGTGATAAATGTCAGCATCCCTCCTCCTGAACAGATATCGATGGTTATTTGGGCTTATTTCTCCAATCTGTTGTTCACCTCAGAACGGAGATGGAATCCATTTCTGCCTGGTTGGCAGCGAGGGTGACTGTAGGACAAGGTAATTTGGCTGCCTGGCACCCTCTAGTATCTCTCTGTCTGAGCTGCTGAGCTATCTCAGGCCCTATTTCCAAAGTTTACCTCAAACAAACAAGAGTGTGCACGCACAAAAAGCCCTCAGCTCTGTGCTCAGAGACGCACAAACTGGTCTTCAGCTGAAATGAAACAAAGTCCAGACACTCGGAGCAGTTGTTAAATTTGATCTGGCTTCAGTAAACAATCTCCTGCCCGAGGAGGGAAAAAAAAAGAAGACAAATAATAAAAACATTTTATTTTTGTCTGTCATTTCAGTTTACATCTTGTAAAGTTTTTATATATATATCAGATTTCAAAAGCAATTCAGACACTGAATCTTTCATTTCTTCACTAAAGCGTGTTCTGCTCAAGTTTTCTGGTTCCCACAAAAGTTGGAGAACAGAAATCCAAGACAAAGATTTGAAGAAATGTAGTGTCAGTGGTTTGTTGAGGAGGAGTGTAGTGTCCAAACAAAACCTATCTACAGAACCAGAGTAGATCTAATTGGTCCACAAGTAAACACGTATCTCATCCGAGCGCAGTGGAAGGCTGTCGAGGCAGGTTCAGATCCAAGCACAGCCCCTCTTCAAACACGGATCTGGAGCCCACATGTGTCAGCGGCAGCGTGAGGAAGATTGTCTGAGCTGAAGGAATCTATTTTACTAGCAGTGACTTCAGAGACTCAGAGTTTAAGGATCACTACCCCTTCGACTACTGTCACAGAGGAAACAGAGCGCATTATCAAGCAGTGGGAATACTGCTGGCCTCAGTGTGCCGGCTAGCACAGTGATAACACAGCTTAAAGGGAAACTACGCACAATCACAAATACCTCATAAATCCCATTTGTGTCGACGCAGTTCAGCAAAACTTACACAGGTTCACTTTAAATGTTTGAGGACTTTGGGTAAAGGCTGCAGAGCCGAGCAGCTCTTTGAACTCATTCAGGCACTTCAGTAGGAGTCTGGTCGAGCACCGCGGCCGCTGCTGAACGAAAACTGAAAGTGATTAGTACACAGGAGGCTTAAAAACAAATCAGTAAAATATCACAGATCATCACAGTAGTTACTGGTGCTGTAAACACGTCTGTGGATTTAAAAGCTGCACGACGTGCAGTTTGGCCGAGGAAGGAACAAAAGTGCATTTGGATAAAAGTGGAACGTGGTCCTGAGACATGAAATCCTTTTTGGAATAACACTGAACATCAGCAGCACCGATGCTATGATTCAGCTGCTTCCTTTGTCTGAAGCTGCTAAAGTGGAAGAGCAGCAGCAGAACCAGGGAAGCACGAAGGAATGCTACGACTAAGAAACGTTTGTGTGACACCGGGACAAACGAACCCATGTGCTGTCTGACGGGGGTTCTGATTGGCTGGCTGGCTCCACAGGTTCAGCGTTCAGTCACAGTTTCTACTCCTGCTAAATGTATTTTGGTTCGTTCAATCACAGTCTGATTGTGTTGTGCTGAAACTGCCACAAGGTTATCGAAAAAAATCATAGTGTCTTCCTGCTTGATGGGAAAACCAGAAGAGCAGGTAGAGAACGCAGATAAAATAAAGAAAGGGTGAAATATGTAGACAGTCATGTGGTAACCTACATGGGTTAGGGTTAGGGCCAACATGTGCTGCACGATGTGTGGTCTGCATCTTAAATATTCTAAAACAGGCTGCGCCTCTGGAGACGCTGTTGTGCGAGGCGGTGCAGATGGTGTTCATGAGCGAGCAGTGAATGATCTAAAGGGTTTCCCCGTTCTGCTGTTGAGGACAGACGTCGCTGGACACTGAAGCGCTGACAGCTCTCTGCATCCAAGGCACTTCCCACTGTGAGGACGGAGAGCGCTCACAGGTCGGTGGTGATGACGGGCGTGACACCGTGGATGAGCAGCGTGGGGCCCAGATCCTGAGTCAGCAGCTCCAGCTGGCGTAAATAGGCGCTGTAGCGGCGGGTGTCGGCTGGAGGTCGCGGCAAGTACAGGAAACGCACAGCAGGCGGGGGTCGGGCCTGATCCAGGATCAGCTGGTTGACGGCCGACAGGTAGTCGTCGGACAGGCGCGTGGCGTTGCTCGGGAAGCTGTTGACGTAATCGTCTTCGTTCTCCTCTTCCTCGTCGGCTCGCTTCTCCTCTGTTCCGCCGTCCGGGGATTGCGAGCGCTGCTTCTTGCCCCAGTCGTTCTGCCGCTGCCAGTGTAGCGCCACCTGCTGGTCCCAGGGCACGGTGTGGATCTGAGCTTTGATCCTCAGCTCTTTGAGCAGCTGGCCCAGCTTCTCCTCCGAGCCCCTCACGCTGCGTCCCTGCTCCACGCACAGGAAGAGGCGCAGCGTGGCCTTGCGCCAGGCTCTCACCATGTTGAGGATGCACGCCAGCTGCAGCAGGAACAGGGAGCAGGTGTCCACGTAGCTGCAGCTGTCTGGGCGCAGGAGGTTGACCGGCCACACGTCCACGTACACGGCTCCCTTCCCCGGAGAGGAGGAGGGCGGCGCCAGGGCCTGGGCTCGGTCAAAGTTGTTGAAGTGTCGAGCCAGAACCACGTTCTTCAGCATCTTCATGGCGTCGGCGATGATCGCCACGTACTCTTGAGGGCCGAGGACCTTCCCGTCCCCAAATTCACCGAAATCCGGTCTGTCACTGGACCCCCGCAGGGAGGCGAAGTGGAAGAGAGGAGGCTGCTCCAGCTCCTGGCCGGGGCCCGGGGGATCTGCAGACTGACTGGTGGACAGGGACGGATCAATCAGCTTGTCCTTTGGAAGACCGTCGTCATAGAAACCCAGGACGAGGGTGTTGGGACGCATTCCCCCTAGAAAGAGGAGAAGGAAGAGAAAAGAGAGACGAGGAACACGATGAGACGAGGCCACGTCGTCGGCTCTAAAGGATTTCTTTATCACCATCACTGATCATCAGTATTGATCTGTTGAGATGCTGAGTGAAAGGTGGGAGTAAAAGTTCCACCTGATGGAGAGAAAGAAAGAAAGAAATGTGAAGAAGACACGTGTTGGAGGGAGAACTGGGATGAAAGCCAAAGACAGATAAGAGGAAGACTGGCTGGAGTGAGACGTGAGTGACAGGACGGAGGACGACAACAAACAGCAGAGAGAAAAGTCACTACAAGTCCAGTTCTGTTGAAGTTTGGAGCAGAACAACAGGCACAGATACTAGCTTCCTGTTAAAACCGACAGTTAAAGAACAAAGAAATACGTTTTTTAAAATTCAGCCAATCCAACAGATAAAACAGAAACGTTCATGAACAACACATCAGCAGGGAAACAACCAGGTGGAACCTTTGAATGCACCTGCAGCTAAAGTGAGAACATGTTCAAGGACACGATGCTGTACCTGAGGTTGAAGCACTGAAAGCAATTGAAGTGGCGTTAAAGCTAAACGACATACAGAAGTGGACACGGCCGTGAAAACTGAACAGACTGAGGAGAGTGTTGGTGGTAAACAGAGCTGACATGGAATCACAGTGTGACGTTAGAGTGGCATTTACAACACAGATACCACACAGAGCTCCATTCTAAGTGTGAGGCGATGAAGTGTCGGGTTCATGTTCTCCCAGCAGTCGGCTGTAACATCAACCAACAGCGAACCAGTCGTTACACAAACAAAGAACACTGGAGGTTTTTCAACAGGCCGACAACGTCACGTTGAAAGAAAATCTCACAACATTGGTTGTAGAAGCAGATTACCGTAATATCTGGACTATAAGCCGCCACTTTTTTTGAGCGGTTGGGGTTTAACCACGGTTTTGGTTATTTTAACCTTTTTTTTTTTTGATTTTTTCTTTTTCCACGTTGGCCGCTTGCGGCTTGGTTCGTTCCCCCCTTGTTTTTTTTTTTAAGTTCGTTGGTTGGGGTTGTTTTTCGGTTGCTTTATTGTTTTGAGATTTCTGTTGTTTTTTTTTGGCCCTTCGGTTCCGGAATTTTGCCCGGTTTTTTTTTGCCTTTTTCGGTTGTTGGGTTCCGGCCGGAGGCCTTGACGGCCACAGGAGTCTTTGTCATGGTGGCTTATTGTCAGCTAAACTCCCACAGTGCTCTCAGTCGGACCCTCCTCAGGTCGCTGGACCTTAAACATAAACGAGCTGGAGTCCTTTATGTCATTAAACAGTAAGAGGCGCCCCCTGCTGGTGCAACCTGGTACTTTAGCTCATCTACTAACATTTTTTGACATGCACGCCCTCCGTCCTCTGTTTAGCCAACAGGTTTTATCTGAAGTTGATCGAATAACAATCATCATTAACATCCCTTGTTTGCTAAGACGTGTTTCTGACTTTAAGGTGGAACAGCTCAGCGGGGCTCTAACTGATTATGTCACTCATGTTTACAAGATAAAAAAAAGCTTGATTACCACCTGAGGGGTCTTCGGGACACTGTGTGCTGGTAATACTGACCTAGTCCCGAGATAAAGAGCAGATGCTGGACGCCGTGACGAACAGAGTCCGCCAGCGTCAGGTTGACAAAGGCCTTGATGTTTAGATGATCCACCAGGGACAGCCAGGAGTCATACTGGGACTGCAGAGGGTCGGATGGTAAAGTGTCTGGGAGGGAGGGAGGAGAAAAAAAAACCACTGTGATGTGAGGTAAGAAGTAGAGCTGACAGTTCAATAGAAGTGCTGCTGAGATGCAAAGAATGTGAAGGAAAGAGGAGGCCAAGGAGGAGAGCTAAACGAGTAAAAGGAGAGAGAAGAGAAGTCAGTGTGACAGAGCTGGATTAGAGGCAGAGTGAGAGAGATACGAGACAAGATGCTGAGATGTGGGAGGGCAAGAAAGAAAGAGGAAGACGCCGGCACGAATGACAGCCGAGACAGAATGTGAGCCGGAGCGAGGGATAGAGGGAAGCGCAAACAGGCAGACAGATGATCAATCATCCTAGAAAAACATCAGTACGTATGTGGAGAGTAAAGCAGAGGCCACGTCTACAGACTACTCCTGTGGAAGCTTCAGCCGTGTTTGGACCTCTTCAGCTTCTACCGCGGCTGTTCCCGTTGATAGATAAGCATTCTGCTCAGCTTTAAGGCAAACTGCTGCCAGACAAAGGCCAGAATAAATAAAGAGGAGCTGAGAGTGCTCACCAACAAACCGCACTTCAGTGTAATTACGTGAATGAATAACTCCTTCACATTTCTCCAGACCAAGTGTCTCGTCGAAGGGCCCTTCAGCAGCTAATGGACATATCGCTTTTTGCTGTGAAACACTCGGCGGATTTGGATTCTGAAGTGTCCATTCAGGACCGGTCTCTGCGTCCCACAAACCTTCCAGCGAAAACCCCCAAAAGACGAAGACGATCAATGACCCTGCTCCTTGAAAATCTGCTGGTGTGCGCCTCTGCACAAAAGAGAGGAGACGCCTCCCGAGCTTTGAGCGTGCGATTACTTCCCTCGAAATAAAACGGCAGCAGACGAGCCGATGTCACCGAGAAGGGTCCAGCATTCTAAACCGGACCGTTAAATGATGCGCCGCTCAATGTGAGACTTCACATCCTATTGCCAACAGGGAGGCATTTTTCTCATTCATATACTTAACGTATCTGGAAAAGATTGTACAGCCGTTCTGAACCGGTCCCAAATGAAAACACTTAAGTAAAGTGGTAGCGGCAGTATTTTTTCCCATTAAAGAGCAGTACAACAAATCACTATTAAAGTTTCAGCAATAATGTAAAAGTTTTGAGGTTAAAAACACAAAACAAGCTTTCAGATTTGTCACTGCCGCCTCTAAACATGATAATCATGTTAAATTATCCAAAAACTACATCCCACCACCATCTCTGATTTATTTTGCTCATAATTAATAGTCTCCCTCTCACACTGAGCGGGTTTGGATGAGAAATGATGCAGAAGTAAAGTTTCCTCTGATGCAGAAGTCGCTGGAGAAGGACGGGATTTATGAAAATAAAAAGCGGCTTCGTGTTTGGACGCCTGGATGTCCTTACTGAGGTCTCCCAGCTGGACGTGTCCCAGCACGTACAGGCCGCTCTTCTTGATGTCGTTGATGAAGGTGATGAGGCCAACGCTGCTGCGAGGGTTGGAAACCATCAGCAGGACCTGAGGCCTCCAGAACTTCACGTGGTCCTTCCTCACGTCCAGCATCAGCAAGTACTTACGCACCTGCAGGAGGGAAGAGAGACAGGATGTCACTGAGAGGAGTGTTTCCTTTAAAGCCTGTGGTCCATACATAGACTCCGGCTGCATGGTGTGTGATCTCAACATTATCACTGAGTCTGCAGGAAGTGTGACGTGACGTGAGGCAAACCAACACGCTAACACATCATGCTACTGGTTCACCTGCTCGTTAAGAGCAGAAAACGAGCACAGTTCTTATTTTCCATGACAAACCTGAAAGAGAAGACGTCTGATAGAATAACTGAATGCAATTGTTTGTTTGTTTTATGAGAAAGACTTCAGACTGAAACAGAAAGTGTGATGTCAGTTTCTGTACAGCAGCATCACTAGAACATCAGTCACCATGTACGATTCCAACATGTTGCTGATTAAAACGCTCCACTCTGTAAACATCCATCCATCATCTCTACACCTTAATCCTCACCAGGGTCATGGGGGGCGGAGCCTATCCCAGCTGACTCAGGGTGAAGGCAGGTTCACCTGGACAGGTAACCAGTCTATCACAGGGCTACACTTAGAGACAGACAACCAAGCACACTCACATTCACACCTACGGACAATTTACAATCACCAATTAACCTCAGCATGTTTCTGGACTGTGGGAGGAAGCCGGAGAACCCGGAGAGAACCCACGCTGCACGGGGAGAACATGGAGACTCCACGCAGAAAGATCCTGGGTGTCCTCACGGGGACGTGAACCAGCGACCTTCTAGCTGTGAGGCCACGGTGCTAACCACTGAGACACCTTGCAGCCCATTATAAAAACAGTTCATGTAAATTATTTGGTTTTAACTTTGGTCAGTCTGACATTAGAGAACTTATTTCACTCTATTCAGAGTAACATTTGGTCATACGCATGTTGGAGTTTCTACACGGCAGGAACTGAGTGGAGACCAGAAGCTTCTGTGTTAACTGATAAGCAAACGTTATTCTCGTCATCCAGTATGTGGAACTCCCAATTAGTCAGTCAGAGCTGATGAAGCCTCCTGGATGAAGGTGGAACGTCTTCAAGGAACTCCAGCAGGTCCAGCTGCTACCATTAAACTATGAGAATAGCCCTGAGCTGGAGGACTGAGGATCTTCACAGACATGAGCAAATGTTCACCAAGTGATTTGTTTTTGGCCCAAATTTGTGGGACGATATCTACATTCTAGATGATTTAAATCTCATTTTTATGCAGATTTATACGTTAGGAATACAACAGGATACAGCACAATACTGTGGAGATTAAAAAAACAACAACAACAAAACAGTGATCTTTTCATTTAAAGGTACAATAAAAAATATTTCTGATAAATATAAATTTAGCATCTCAGTGTGAGCCACTATCAGGCAGTTGTAAGGAAATATTTCAGCTACAGAAAGCTCGACGTCGAACCAAAACCAGGCGCTCTGTCTGCAGTGTCTGGTTGCCACTAAACAAAGCAACGATTGATTAGTTTGACCTTTGAAATCAGTACTCAGTGATCTTTGTATGACGAGTCCAAAGCCGGATCTGAATGCAATCAAAGCGGGAAACTATTCCGAACGCCTTCGTCAGTCGTACACCTTCTGAGGAAAGTTTCAAAGCATTTCCCATGTTTTGCTTTTTCCTTCTGAATGATTCTTGTCTCATTAAAGATTTATGTCATACTGCATACAAAAATATGTCTGACTTCTTCTGGCCATCATTATGCTGTTTCCATGGAGGGGCAGGATTTTGTATTGCAGTGAAAAATGAGCCCCAGTGAGAAAAAATGTGACAGAAGCTAAACGTGCCCAGAAACAGAGGTCTACAGGCATTAGTTTGACGTTTCAAACCCAGCGGCTGCATCCACCTCTTATACAGTCTGTGGTCCAGACCTGTGCTGATCATGTATGTAGGGTGGAGTTTCCAAAAAAAGAAAAAAAAGAGGTTCCTCTGCAGTTATCAGACACTCAGGCTCCAAACTTAAGTCCACTTTAATTACACGAGTCCCCAAAGGCCACGTCTGGAGGTGATTTCACTTCGGTTTTTAGTTTTTCTTTTAACTTTCTGTTACTTTTTTTACTTTTTCTTGCAAGATTATTGCAGGATTTTCATGAAGCAAGTAGAAATATGAATGTCTTGACTGTGTATGTTTAATGTCTGTTCTGTGCAGACAGGAGAGGAGACGTATAGGGATCATCATCAACACCAGGAACATGGGACCTAATACACGAGTTTTATATTTTTACATAGTTTGTTAAAGAAACCACTTTAGACACAAATGCTCACCAGCTTGAGACAGACACAGATAGACAGTTTTTAGCAAAGCATATTGTATAGTCAGTCAGAATTCAATGTACACACTCATCTCAGGAGGCTAATTAGAAGATATCTGTGGGATAGCAAGAATGCTACTAAACATACCACAGACAGGCCGATGACGGATTTTTTCTCATCGAACACGAAGGTTGGCAGACACGCAGTTAGAAATCAAATCTCACCATATGTTTCAATTTGTAGCTTTCCAGGGGGTTTCAATCACACAGCGGCACACACAACTATATCTGTTCACATCTCTTTTCCTGCTGGAACTCCGTAGACGGAACCTCGGCTTTTTAGTTAACGCAGATGAGAAGTCCTTATAATGAAAAAGCCACAGTTCTGTGACAACGGGAGAAACTTCATCTGCTGTGACTGAAAGCTCCACAGCAGCTTCTGAATGGTTTCTCAACTGCTGCTTCCAAGGTGAGGAATGAACTCCTCCTGACCCGGGTCGGGTGAAGGACTATTAGCCCGGGTGCTGTAGCATCCCGTCTTGGCTGTAACTTTACATCTTCCACACGGACATGAGGCTGATGTCGATCTTCTCATCTGACTCACACCGCGAAGGTGCGTTAGTCTACTTCCTAAAATGTCAAACTATTCCCTGGACGGCTCAGAACGTAACGCTGCGTATGTGCCTCGAGCCCATATGTATGCATGTGCCGCTGTATGGTGACCACGGGGACGTCTCTTATCAGGAAACAAATTACATCTGTAATCATCATCCCGTTGGGCTGTGAGGCTGTGGCAGGGACCAAAAGGTGTGTGTGTGTGTGTGTGTGTGTGTGTGTGTGTGTGTGTGTGTGTGTGTGTGTGTGTGTGTGTGTGTGTGTGTGTGTGTCATTCAGACTGTTAGTGGGAGAAACGAGCCTGTGTGTGATTGCTTATGAATATGCATTGAAGAGCCTGTGTGTATCAGTATGTATTACAATGCATGCTGTAGCAGCAGCGTCATTAGGATTCTGACGGTGCGCCGAGGAGGTGGCATCAAGGTGTCATTAAGGAAATGTAACCAAGTGGAACCAAACATTAGATCTAAACCTACAGTCTACTAGGAGTGATTAACGCTCACTTTATACCCTCATTGGGATTAATGACCACTGACTCAGTGACGACATGTCTCCATGTTAGCGCTGCAGCGACATTCATGGCTCTGACAGAAGAAGGGCGACTCCAGAGGAGACTTCTGGGTTTGGGTTTTTTTTCCACTTTTGAAAGTTCAACATTAACCCTTCGAAGCCCAAAACTTTCCTTTAATTCATCAAAGCTTCTTTGTTCCACATGTCTCAGCCATGATTCACAAAAGAGGTTGTAAAAAGGCAAATGTAATGTCTGCAGCACGTCACCATTGTTTCCAGGATCGGTAACACCTGCAGCTACTTAGAAAAATGACAATTCCAGGATTTTTCAATTTTTGTAAAAAGAGTAATTTCCAGACTATTGAGGCACCTGGATAGAAGCCACACCCACTAACTTTAAAAACCAGGTGTGTACATCTACAGGCTGCAGGTGTCCACGTTGGAACATGAGATATTTACACACAAAGAGGTTTAAATTAGCCGCAGCGTTCAAAGCGTGTGAAAGAAGCAGCAGCTTATAGTCCAGACATTACGGTAATCCAAAAAACAACCTTTTTCTTCTTTTTTTTTTTTTCCAGATTTACGTCACAAGTGTGTCATATTGCATAGAAGCCATTTATAAGGTCTCTCTGCTTCTGGCCACCGTTGTTCTGTTTCCATGGAGGTGCTGACTTTGTGACAGGAACAGAAATACCACAAACTGCTCAGAGTTCAGCGGGTTAGTGTTCCTGGTGTACCAGAAATGCTGAGGAGAAAGTCATGTCTGGCAAGAGCACACAGAGACGAGATGAAAAGAAAGAGATTTTCAGATGAGGGTGAGACAGAGCTGTAATTAGCCGGTTAAAGCAGTGAGAAGAAACACCTCCTAAATGGAAAAGTGTCACCTGAGAACGACTACAAATACTTTTAAATGACTTTCACCTTGACGATGCCTTTAATAGTCTGAGAACAACAAACTCCACTTTACGACTCCGCCTGAAAAGTCCTTCTTCTATACGTGAGTCTTAACAACACGAGTCCTGCTGAAGCTGCTGAGCTCATATTTGTCGATGCAGCCGTCGATCAGACATGAAGATGGAGCCGACATTATTTCCATCATAATCACAACTGTTTTCAGGCTCCTAACCCCTAATTTCTGGTTAAAGAAAACAAAAAACAAGATCCCAGAGGCAAAGTCCAACTGCCTCCACTCATCTAATCATCTCTCATCTCTTTATCTCTCCCGTCCCCGTCTTCCCATCAATCAGACTATCATCATCTCACTGTCGCTTCGCTCTCATCCATCACTTACTTTCTCCATCACTCATTCCCTCTCCCTGCATATATTCTGCCTCCTTCCTGCTCTTCTCCAGATACCATCAGCATTTCTAGCCTCAGTTCGTCTTCTTCTTCGCTCCTAAACGCCACCGACGGCTGCCTGTTATCTCCAGTTGTGTTTTATTGTTTGTTGCTGGTTGCCGTTGTGTCTTTCGTCCCCGGTTCAATGTCACCCAGTTGGCGCGCCGCCATACTGGCTGCTGCTGCTGGAGTGTATGTATGAGATAGGTACATGCACACGGCCGGCGTCTTCAGCCCGGGTCTATCAGCGTAATCATCCCACTGGGCCGGGCTCGCTGCCAGGGGTTTAGGCAGCGCTGCAGAGGGGAGGGACCAGACTGAGGCTCATTTGTAAAATGAGTATAAAAAGGTTTTAAGAGTTCTATTCAAAGTTCTTGGAAATAATAAACTCATTATCTAATAAACACATCCAGAACAATCCCACATTGCCGACTGCTGTTTATTCAGTGTAATAAGTGGATGCCAAATAAACTACTTTAATATTCCAACATGAAATGGGTTCGGTAAATAACGGGTATCTGTACCCGTCCTTGGCTCCAACAGACGCAGGTATCTGTCCAGTGGTGCTGTGGGTCCAGTAGGTCTGGTTCAGGAGTCCATCCGTGAGATGAACAAGAAATCCTGGTGTTAAAATCTAGAATTTAGACACAAACTCTAACATTAAAATGCCTTTCTGTACTTGTGTTTTACATCTGTCTAAACAGAATATCCTCCAGTGCTGATTGGCTGTTGCTCCTCATGTCTAACCAATCACACAGTAGAAGTACTGACGCATGCTTGTGACACGCACTGCCATCGATTTCATTCTTATGGTCTCTAAATGCTGAGCTTTTATGTTTATCTGGAGCATCAGAAACTTTTCTTGGATGCTTCCCAGGTTGTTGCTGCTGTGTCCTGCACCATCGTTGCTCCTTTCTTCAGCTCTGGTTGCTGCTGGTTCAGGTTCCTGGTAAACACAGCGCTACAGGTGCATTCAGAACTCTGGTTTCCTGTGAGATTCACCTGGTGCTGATACGTCTCATCAGCCATGTGTGGACTTGTTTGGCTCGAATGTAACAGATGCCCACAGACGTTAAAAGGCAAAGTCTCACCACTAGGACAGAAATGCAAAGATGGCGGTTGTACGACACACATCTGGCTCCTCCCCTCAAAAAGTAAACGTCAGGAAACGTCCAGCCAAAGACTGCTGCTGATGTCCCCGTCTGTGTTTTCTGTGATTTTTTATTGGTTTTATTGTGTGTTTTTACCTTTTTAAAAACACTTCCTGTCATCTGTTTTTTAATGTTTTCATCGTTGGTTTCTTGTGAACACTCTGTCAGCTGCTGATGAACAAACTCAAGGGACAAACAGTGAAGGTGGAGCTGAAGTGGTGGTGCTGCCCTGATGGAAGCACGGTGATGGTAGACTATGCAGATGCAGAGCAGAAGTTTAACCATGAGGAAAAGACACTTTTTAAACCTGACGTTGGTAAAAGTC